ATTATCATTATTATTATTAGTAGTATTATTATTATTAGTATTATTATTATTAGTTTTATTATTATTATTATTATTATTATTATTATTTTTAATACTACTACTACTACTACTACTACTACTACTACTACTACTACTACTACTACTACTACTACTACTATTATTATTTTAGAAAATATCCCCACTAGCCACCTGCGCTACCAGCACACCCTGGCCGCCGAGGGGCCCCCTCTCGCGCCATTTTGGCTGCGTTCCCGCTCTTGGTGCTCGCGCACGGTCTCACCACCTCTCTGCCTGCGGTTCGGCTCTCTCGCGCCATCTTGGCAGCGCCTACCACTCCTGGTGTTTTTGGGTCTGCTTCAAGTTTTTCATGTTCGGCAAGGGTGGCTCATCCCCTGGTCTTCGTGCTCTTCGTCATCGGCGCGGTCTTCCGGCGGCAGCTTCGCGGGCCGGGCGGTACTTCTGTACTATCCCTTCTGCCCGCCCGATGCAGCTCGCCTCAATTTTTTCCCTCAGCTACGGAGCGCGGCCCGCCCTAGCTTGCTCGGCGTTCGACCCGCCATCGCGCGCCCGCGGACCAGAAGTATCCCCACCAGCCCATCCAGAAACGATGTCCAGGCGAATTGAGGTGATCAGGGAAGTGCGGGAGCAAAGAAGTGGACGGCCGAAGCGTCCGAAAGAGGGGGGATGAGAAGAAGGAGGCTGGATGGATGGATGAGGGAGTGGGGAGAAGAAAGATGAGCCTGATGATGACGATGATGATGGTGAGGAGGAGGTGGAAGAGGAGGAGGAAGAGGAGGAGGAGGAAGAGGAGGAGGAGGAGGAGGAAGAGAAGAAATAGGAGGAAGGAGGAGGAGGAGGGCGAGCGAAAGGGCCAGAGGTCTCTTGGATGCCTCTCGGAGCCCTTGGGGATATCGCTTGGGCGCTTCTTGGTGGCCTCTTGGGGCGTCTTGTGGGTCTTTTGGCGGTCATGGGGAGCTCTTGGGCGTCTTGGGTGCCTTGCGGGAGCCTCTTGGAGCGTCAGGGGTCGTCTCGGGTGCCTCGAGGATTCTCTTGCAGTTTTTTGGGGGCTTCTTGGGGGTCTCTTGGGAGCCTCTTGGAGGCCTCTTGTGGCCGTCTGGGCGCCTTGTGGCCCTCTCGGGGCGCTCTTGGGAGCCTTTGGGACGCTCTTCGGGCTATCTTGGAAACCGTCGATCGAACAAGGGGGGGGCTCCAATTAGCGCCCCCCCCAAGAGGCCAACATGGGGCCAAAACCTTGGGAACAAATAGTGATTTTGGCTTCCTCGCCGAAGCCGTTTTGGACGCCCTGACCGCTCGCGACCGGCCTCGTCCAGGTCCACGGGAGGGGTAGGGGGAGGGGTAAACCCCTCCCCGAAAGGGGGGAAGGGCAGATGGATTACAAAACACCCTAAACCACCTATGAAGGCCCGGTGGGATTCCGTCTGTAGTGTCGATTTGCGTCGAGTAGCGTTTGGTAATTGATGAGATAGCGGCTGCTGGCTTAGCGTCGATTGGCGTCGGCTAGTGTCAATCAGCGTCGTTCTACCGTCGATCACAATCCATTAGCGTCGATTGCCGTCGGCCAACAAGATGGTAGGGCAGGCTTCCACGACTTGCCTCCGAACTGTCCGTCGCCACCACAGCCAGATTCACCGTGAAATCCTGGTCAGAACGCGCCTTGGGAGAGGTCCGGGGAGTAGCTCAGCCATGCGCAGAGGGGGAGACGGGGAGGGGGAGGGCTTAGAAGCAGTTTCCCCTACCCGCTTGTGCGCGCCGCCAAACTACGGTCGGATTCGCTTTGAAGTCCTGGTCAGAACGCGCCCTGGGAGACGTCTGGGGGGCAGCGGTATTGGTACCTTTTTGCCTCCAAATGAAACGCACCTCTCTGGTGAGCGCTTTGGCGTGCTTCGGTCTCACCCTGCTCGCGCGCCGTGCGGGCGCAAAACGTCTGAACTTAACGAGGGGCTCTGAGCCGTGATTCTGGACGTAGCGATGGTGAAAAGTGCAAGATCCAGCCCGTGAGCCGGCTACACGTACGAGTGACTTTTGGTGCGGGCCCGGTGGGATCCCCCGGCCGCTGAACGCGATGCGACAGCAGCAGCTTGCGCGCTTGGGTTTGGCCCACTCGCGCCCACCAGAGGCGCGAAGCAGAGGTCGCCTTTGCCTGGGGTCATCCTGTCGCGTAGCCGAATGCAGGGTGCGATGGCCGGGCAGACCGTCGGGGCGACGCCCGGGCAGGTCGGGCTGGACTCGAGCGGGGAGGGGTTGAGCAGCAGACGAAGGCAGCATGCGCCTTGACGGCGGCGACCCGATCCATCGAGGGCGGCGCCTCCAGGCCCTCAGCGGTGACGGCGGAAACGACGACGACGACGACGACGACGACGACGACGACGACGACGACCACGACGACGACGACGACGACGACGACGACGACGACGACGACGACGACGACGACGACGACGACGACGACGGCGGCGGCGGCGGCGGCGGCGGCGGCGACGACGACGACGACGACGAAGCCTGTCCTGGCAAACAGGACGCTGGAAATCAGGACTTTGGTACATCCTGGCTGGAGAGGGCGAAGGTCTCGACCCACGGCTGCAGCCTCTGCCGGGCGCGCCAGCGTCTTGGCTCAACCGGAAGTTGTCTTAAGCTAGTGTTTAATCGGGCCTGTCCTTCTACAGGAGGAATATTCAAAAGTAGCCAAAACATACTATGGGGACGATGTTTTGAATATTGTTGGGCATGTTCGATTATTTTTTGTCAATTTCAGGATTTTTGTTCCAAAATCCCCCTGTAGGGGGACATGCCCGACCTAAAACTAATGCGTTTGGACCCTGGGAGCGGTCCGTGGACCGATTTGGAGCGGCTTTGGGCTTGGCGGGAGGGCTGCCTTTGTCTCTGCGCCGGTTGTTCAACTGGCCCTCCTCCGATCCTTGAGAGGGCGGGGGATTCTCAGAAGCTCTTCCACAGCGTTTGAGAAGGCCTTGCCTGGAGGATGCAAAACTGCATGAGCATAAACTGTTGTACCCCTGCACGGCCCGGAGCGCCGGAGGGGCCGCCAGGGGGCCCCGGCGGCCGGCAAGAAATCCGCGCGGGGCTCCGAAAGGCTCTGTTTGTGCAGTCGAGTCGCAGAGTAAGGGTGAGCAAAACCTTCCAAGGCTACCCTTCGCACCCTCCGCCCCCTCGGCCCATCCTTGGCGACCGTCCAGCTGGCGAGCCCCGCTCGAGAACGCCGGCACGGCCCTCCGAGGCTCTGCGCCGTGGCGGCGACGTCGGCATCGTCCTCGACGCCATCGAGCGCAGCCATCGCACGCCGCCACCGACGTCGCCGTCGAGGTCGGCGTCGACGTCGGCGTCTCCGTCGGCGTCGACGCGCCGCCGCCGCCGCCCTGCGTCGCCGCCCTGCCTGCTGCCGGCCCGGCGCCACCCAGCGTCCCCGCGGTGCTGGCACGGCCGCGCCGCGCCGCCGGCCGCCGCCCCGCGCCGGGCGCCCCGCGCGCGGCGCGCGGCGCCCGGGTGGGGCCCGGGCTCGGGCGTTGCGCACAGCAGCGGCGACGCGCGAGAGACCCGCGGAGATCCAGCGTGTCGGAGGATGTCAAGACGGGGGTCCCTCGCCGGGCCCCGGGATCGTCAAACAGCGACTCGGGGTGAGGAGCTGGTCCCGGGGAGTGGTTCGAGACTCCATGGGGACCCCGTATGGAATAAGTCACGACGCCGGATCTCTGGGGAGTGACCTTGGACCGGAGCGAGCGCTGAACGCGATGCGACAGCAGCGGCTTGCGCTCCCCTGCGGTGCGGTGTCCCCGAAGGGCTCCTGGCCGCGCACTCAGGGTCACTATTGCCTATGGTCACTCTTGCGTGTTGCCGACACCGGGGGGGGGGGGGCGACGAGCGTCAGAGCTCCAAGTCATCAGGGCGGGGGGTGGTCAGGGGCAACTCCAGATTCGCGCCTCGGGGGCCCAGACCGGAGTTACTCCGCACAGCAGTCATCCTGGCCACGTCGGGCGTCCAACCCTCCCGAATCGTTGGGGCTCGGGGGCAGTCAGGGGCAGCTCGGGGTTCGTGCCGCGGAGGCCCACGCCGGAGCTGCCCCAGACACCGCAGTGAGCTGCCCCGGACACCGCAGTTGTCCTGGATGGTGCGGGCTCCACGAGCGGGGGTCGGAGGATCAAGACGTCATGAGAATGAGACGTGCCAAGGTTTCCAGGATTTCGGAGATTCCCTCAGTTTCCCACAGGGGCTGCAGATGCAAGGGCCGCTGGATAATCTGGAACTCCTGCAGAGTATCGGGAGCCAATCCTATCATGACATGACGTCATTCCCGTCCTGGGGGGGTGAAGAAAGTTTGGGGTGGTTTAGGCCCTTCCGAGCTTCTGGGGGGCTCCTCGCAGCCACTGCTAGGTCCGCCTCGAAAAGCTGCTCAGAACGCACCCCTGGACGGATCTGGGGGGCAAGAATTTGTCGTTAAAGAGATGGCTTCGTGACGAAACCCAAACCCCCTCGAGTCCTGGAAAAATCTCGGCTGGCATTTTTTCGTCATGTTTGGCCTCTGGAGGCCCTGACAAGGCCTCGGGACCGTCAAATAACGACTCAGGATGAAAAGTCGGTCCTGCGGAATGGGTCAAGACCTCTGGGGGTCGACGTCACGTAAAAATCATCACATCGGGGGCGACATTTCCTGAGATCCTGGCGCTGCGTGTTTTTTTTTGCACAACAGTTTTCGCACGGTTTCGAGCCCGGGGACCCTCGCAGATCGACCCGGCTCGAAAAAGACGCGAAAGATTGTGTCTAAGTCTTTGGGCGTGATTGCTGGCGGTGCTGCAACTTGTCTTCAACGTCGGATCTCAGGGAAAGGTACACCTTGTGCGCACCTTAAGGGGCCCTAAAGGGGCCCCCTGGGGCCCAAAAGGTGCACGAAAGGTGCACGTCGTTTCTCTCCCCCCCGGGTATCGCCCCTCCGTTCAGCAACGCCCAATCGGCCCCCCCGCCATATGGACGTCGTCGACATCGACGGGGACGTCGGGAGGGTTTTTCTCGAAGAGGGATACCTGGCATACGCAAGTCTTCAGAGCTCCGCGCGGATCTCCTGGATTGGCACAGGACCCTCCTGTCGGCGCCTCCAGCGCTGCCGTTCCGCGCGCCAGGGAGGGGGGCCCAGTGCAGACCAAAGAAATCCGCGCGGACCTCCGAAAGCGCATGTTCACGTAGGTTTTTCCTCTTCCAGTCTCGGAGTGCTCTCTGCGGCCCCTCAGGGCGTCAGAGGAGGAAGCTGGAGGAGGAGGAGAAGGAGAAGGAGGAGGAGGAGGAGGAGGAGGAGGCAGGAGGGAGGAGGGAGGAGGGAGGAGGGAGGAGGGAGGAGGAGGAGGGAGGGAGGGAGGAGGGAGAGGAGGAGGAGGAGGAGGGGAGGGGGGGGAGGGAGGAGGGAGGAGGGAGGAGGGAGGAGGGAGGAGGAGGAGGAGGAGGAGGAGGAGGAGGAGGAGGAGGAGGAGGAGGAGGAGGAGGAGGAGGAGGAGGAGGAGGAGGAGGAGAAGGGAGGAGGAGGAGGAGGAGGAGGAGGAGGAGGAGGAGGAGGAGGAGGAGGAGGAGGAGGAGGAGGAGGAGGAGGAGGAGGAGGAGGAGGAGGAGGAGGAGGAGGAGGAGGACGGAGGAGGAGGAGGAGGAGGAGGAGGAGGAGGAGGGAGGAGGAGGAGGGAGGGGGGAGGGAGGGAGGGAGGGAGGGAGGGAGGGAGGGAGGGAGGGAGGGAGGGGGGAGGGAGGGAGGGAGGGAGGGAGGGAGGGGGGAGGGGAGGGAGGAGGAGGAGGAGGAGGATGTGACATCTCTGCCATTGCCATCAGACTCGGCCCGAAGTGCTGTCAGAACGCGCCACGGGAGATTCCCAGGGAGCAGAGGCATCCTCCTCCTCCTCCTCCTCCTCCTCCTCCTCCTCTTCCTCCTCCTCCTCCCCCTCCTCCTCCTCCTCCTCCTCCTCCTCCTCGTCCTCCTTCTCCTCCTCCTCCCTCCTCTCTCCTTCTCTTCCCCCAGAGGCCTCGAGGCCTCCAGGGGGGCCACCCCGAACCTCCAAGGGCCTCCTTCGAGGTTTCCGCGGGAGGGGGAGGTACCGCACAGCCGCTGGGGACCCATCTTGGGCAAGGCTTGAGGGCAAGGCTTGAGCTCGTGGTGCGCAGAGCCTGCCGGCCGAGGGCACACCGAGCGATCTGGCTCAGCAGTGAGCTTGTGTCCATGCCCTCCCTCTCCCCGACCCAGACATCCGACGACCTGCTTTTTCAACGCGCGGTCCCAAGGGTTCCGACCCATGGCTGGCTGGTTTTTCGCCCCGGATCCATTTTTGATGGCCCCATGGCCCGCAAACGGGCCCCAGGGGCCAGAATCGAGGAGGTGCGCCATGATCGAAAAGGCACGTCGCCAGAGGTCTGGGGAGGACTCGGCGGCGAAATCCGAACCATACCCTCGCCGATCAACGATTCAGACAACTCGATGGGTGGCGGGGGTAGTGTTCGGAATTCGTCGAACCCGTGGCGACATCCGAACCCTACCCCCGCCTCCCATCGATTCAGGAGAATCGATGGTGTCCGAGTAGATGGGGTCCGAGGATCCCGCCGCATCGCCGATGCATCGCCGATGTGGCTCGATGTGGAGCCCCATTTTCTCCGCGCTGGCGTCGCCGATGCACCGCCGACGTCGCCGATGTATCGTCGATGCGTCGCCGATGCGTCGCTGATGCGTCGCCGATGCGGCGCGATCCTCCGACTCTGCTCGGACCCCATCGAGGGGGCCTCTGAGGACGGAGATGAGCAGAAGCCGGTCGACCTGGCGGTGCCGGTGGCCTCCTACCCGCCCCCGCCGATGCCCAGCGGGCCGAGGAAGGCCAGCCTGAAGCTCAACACGAGCACGTCGACCGCGGGCACCAGCACCGCGGCCTCTTCGGAGCTGGGCGGCCGCCACCTGCACCGCACGCTGTCCGACGGCTCCGTGCCGACCGCGGAGCTTGGCGAGGACCTGTCCAGGCCAGGGGTCGATCGGCGGCGGCCGAGACCTGGGCCCCCCAGATTTGCATCGGGCACGTCCCTCTACGGGAGAAATATTCAAAGTAGCCTGGGAACGATTGTTGCGCTATTTGTAGCATGTCCGACTATTTTTATGTGATTTTTGTTTTTCGTCCATACTCCGCCTATAGGGGGACATGACCGACCTAAGCCTAGATAGGTTCGGAGTGGATGGCGCTGGAGGATCGCGCCGCATCACCGATGCATCGGCGCTGCGGCTCGATGTGGAGCCCGATCTTTCCCATGCCATCGTCGCCGATGCGCCGCCGAGGTGGCCGATGCATCGTCGGTGCATCGGCGATGCATCGGCGATGCATCGGCGATGCGGCGCGATCCTTCGACCCCATCCACTCGGATCCCATCTGCGAGTCCTCTGCACGAGGGGGGTGATGACTAGGGAGGGGTGTGGACATCATGGCCAGGACATTGATGCGGTAGAGGGAAACAGTTACTGAACACTCCCCCTGCCCCCCAAACTCAAAGTTTGCACGCGTGGGGGAGACTGCGGTCGAGGTGCAGCTCATCAGACCCACCGCCAGCTTTGAACATTGGGGGGAGGGGGGGGCGTTGACAGACGAACGTGGCACGAGTGTTCGCTATTTTTCCCGAGGCCTGTACTGTCACGTCTTGTTACGGATCATCGAGGCTTCGGGTTCGTTTCTCTTGGTTCTGCGTGTGTGTGTGTGTGTCTTCTCCGCTCCTCCCCTCTCTTTCCTCCTTCTCTTCCCCGCCCTGTGGCTTTCCACACTACGGTGGAGCTGATGAGTTCGGCGGTGATGTCCACGGCCACTCCACGATTGGAGCTCCACAGGCTTCCAGACCCCGGATTCCTTATCCAAGGGTTCCTTATCCACTGCCTTCACCGTGCTACAATCTTTTTTTCCCAGACCACAGGTCATCGCATGAACTTGCCTGTGACGGGTCGAGGTGTCATCTCGTGTAGCGTTCCTGGTTGACTGGCGATCTTCTGTTTCGCGTTACTGCGCGAGTCACGCCGTGCTGAGGTTCAGTCGTCGCGCGCTCCCTCTCATTTCCTTTCGGTAAAAAATGCCCCCCGCATTTCATAGCCCTCTCTTCCTCTTCCCATATGTCTCCTGGCCCCCCCCCCGGGCCGCACGCATACCTCGGGCCATGACTTGCGACCCCCAATCTTGGACGCCCTCCTCCTGGACGCCCCCGAGTCGACCAAGATGTTGTCTTGGCAGTCTCGCAGATCGTTTTCGCTCCACCCTCGTTTTCGTTTCGGTTTCGCTCAGGGGCCCACCGCTGGCCATCCGTTTCGGGCAATCGGCCGGACCCGTTTTCGTTTCAAAACGTGTAAACGAGAACGAGTGACACTCAGAAACGCTGTTTTGGTCGACCCCGGGTCCAGGCGACTGGAGAAGATCGACGGCAAGCTCGACTGGCTCGTCAGCCGCATCAAGGCCACGAGCCTCGCGGCCACCCGTCGCGACAGCGGCGCCGGCAACGGCCGCGGCGGCGCCGCCTGCGTTCCGATGAGCGCCCGCGGCTTCGGCTCGCTGGTGTCGGTGACGGACACCGACCAGAAGACGACGACCCTGCGCAACCTGGCGGACGGGGGCAACGTGATCAACATCTCGCCCCCGCTGACGGTCATAGTGCGACGAAACCTATACATACCCACTGCCCCAGGCCTGGCCCATCCTGGGGCAGGGGCCATGTACGTATGGCTTTCGTCGCCCCAGGTCAACGCGCCGCTGCCCGGTGGCGCCGGGCCCAACATCCTGCGGCGCGGGTCGACCCCCGTGGAGAGCGTCGACAGGGCGGCGGCTAGCAACAGCGACGAGGCGTCGTCCTCCCCCGGGAGCCCCACGGTGGCCCAGTGCCCGCCGCGGTCGCCCAGGACTCCAGGCCTCCCAACTGGGGTCCGAGTATGGCTGGGGTCGGCGTTTCATCGGCGTTTCGGGGGGCTCGAACGTTTTCGGCGGTCTCGTGGGTTCTCGGCGGGTTTCCAGCCTCGGGGTTCCTTCCAGCGGCTGCGCTGCTCCGAGACCGTTCCAGCGATTCCCGTATCGCCCCGAACGGCCGCCGGAGACCCGAGTTATGACCCGAAAACCAGGGACTAGGGGGCGCCTGCGATCCATTTTCGATGCGAAGCGATTCTTAGAGGAGGGCGAGTTGAGACAACGGTAGTTGACCTTCGGGGCCCCCCCCAGTCGCCACGGTTGGGGGCAGCTCGGAAAGCTGGTGCATGTGGACACCGGGAGGGGTTCGGGGACCGATTTTGAGTTGCCGTCGTCTCAGCTCGCCCTACTCCGATCGACGGGCCTGAGGATCGTGCCGCATCGTCGATGCATCGGCGACGCGGCTCGATGTGGAACCTGACTTTCTCCATGCCAGCGCTACCGATGCATCGCTGATGCGTCACCGATGCGTCACCGATGCATCGCCGATGCATCCCAATGCGGCACGATCGACCGATCTCATCTGCTCTTAAGTCGGGCATGTCCCTCTACAGGAGGAATCTTCGAGTAGAAATCCAGTCAGGTGACGATTTTTCGTGTTTTCTTTTGATAATCGTTTGACTGCAATCCGCCTGTAGGAGGACATGCCCGACCAACAAATCTACTCGGACACCACTTGTGAGGCCTCTGAGGACGTCCGGCAACGTGCTACCGACCTCTCAGATCCTGCTGCCGGACTTCATCGGTTCGAGGCTCGAGGAAGAAGCTCGACTAGACGTAAGAGTGACCGTTCGCCGGAGTGACCTTTGGTGCGGGCACAGATCGGCCCTCAGATGGCTGAAAACGAGGCGGTAGCAGGGGCTTGCGCGCCCAGGTTTGGTCTCCCCGCGGCCCCAAAAAAGCCGCGCACCAAAGGTCACTCTTACCCAGGGTCACTCTTGCGTGTAGCCGAGAAGCACCATCATAAACACAAACAGACGAAGCCAGAGCGAGGACAACTCCGTGCGGGGATTAATCAAGCGTCTCTGAGAGCCGGCGGTTCTGGAGGATGCCTCGGGCGCCGCGGCCTTCTCGGAGCGTTCCAGAACGCTCTGAGAGGGGTCTGGACCGCTTGTGAACTGATCTCGAAATCTGGGCGAGGGCTGCTAAAACCGTGGCTGCTAAAACGGCCCTCCCAGAAGGAAAAAACAACTTCCCGGAATGAGGCGCGGCACGCGAAACAGTCAACGGGCTTCTTCCCGGAAGGACGAAGACAACTTCTCGGAGGTCGATTTTAGCAGCCACGGATTTAGCAGCCCTTGCCCGGCTTCCGAGGATCTGTCCTCGTCCCAGCCCCATCCGACATGAGCTCTCAGAACTCCGCGCGGATCTCTTGCATCGGGCGATTGGACCCCTCCTTGGCGCGCTGGGCGGCGCCAGAGCACGTCGCCAGGGGAGTCCGGCGCCGACCCACGAACTCCGCGCGAACCTCCGAGCGAACATGAAGTCCTACGCCGTCCGGCGCGTAGGCGGAAACAGTTTTGAGTTCAAGCGTGCGCAGCCCATGCGCCTGCTGAACAGGGCAATCGGCGGAGGAGGAGGAGGAGGAGGAGGAGGAGGAGGAGGAGGAGGAGGAGCTGGAGGACACTCTCGAGGGGCACCTTGGTCAACGTGTTGACCCGGCGCCAGAGCATGTCGAGCTCCTTCCAGAGCGATTTCGTGTTGGCGGCTGGACCAAGGCACCCGTCCTGGAACTTCATGGAGAGTTGATTCGACTCTGAGCTCCAGATGTTGTAGACGGCGCAGAAGCAGGTGAAGCGCCCACCCGCTCGACCATGCGGGCCTGCCCCACCTGCGGTGGGCAGCACCTCGAGTGGAAGGGACCCTTCTGGCAGGACGGGGCCGTGGCAGCTACGTTCTCCAAGAAGGTGCCCAGGCCGAACCAGATACTCACCCAGAGGGCGGACTGGCCGTCCCCAGCAGAAATCCAACTACGAGCTCTAAAACCGCAGCAATTCTAATATACGTTAGTGGAGCTGGAATTCCCCCGGCTGCTGGCCGCGTGCGGGAAGCAGGTCATGCGCTTGATGTTGGGCGCGAATTACTTGGGGGCGATCAATAGAAGGGAAAGGAAGGTGGCCTGTTCGGGCCCTGGAGGCCCTCTTCCGGGCCCCCAGGAAACCCTTCAGGGGCCATCCAGGGCCCCTTTTCTGCAGGCTTCGCTGCCCCCCCCCCCCCCCCATTTAGCGCTCCCCCTCATGTGTCTCGGGCCGGACGAAAGGGGGGGTTTGGGAAAGGGGGGGGTACGAAATTTGCTGCATGCAGCTGGTTTGGGCCTCACCGAGGGGCCCATTCTTCGATTCATAGCCGCCTCCGGCGCTGGGAGGCGCCGGGCAAATCAGCTACGTGAGCTGATTATCACCCCCTCTTTGCTATCCCCGCCTTTCGCCCGACCCGAGTGCCGTGGCTCCATGATGATGCCGTTCGGCAACATTACGACGTCGTGCTCAGTGATTATCGCCGTGGGCCTCTGCGCGCGCGCCTCGGCGTTCGCGGGCACCAACCCAGCGCCGCCGTGCTCGCTCCGCGCCTCCGGGGCCACGCGCCACGTCGCGTCTCCGGCAGCTTGCAGCTTGCTTGCGTTGGCCCTCGCCAGGGCGTCCGACACCACGGGATCAACCGAGCCCATTTCAGCGGAGGTGTCGGCCCAGAAATTGCCCACGTACATGCAGTCGGTGCCATCGGCCACGATCGCGTCCTCCAGATGACGGTGGGCTGGCACCCAATCCAGTCCGCCGCTGGCCTGTCGGAGCGGGCACCCACGGCCATCATGATGTGCCGCCAAACCGTGGCGCGTTAACTTCGAAACCGCTCATGCCGGCCCGACCAGGCCTGCACCTCGTGGGCGAAGGGGAGGTGGTCCGAGTACAGGAGGGCAGGCGGCTCCCCCAGCTGGAAAGCCTGGAGGCCAGCGTGGCGCTCGGAGCGTGGCACCGTCTGGAACTCCCCTGGCACCCCGCCGCGAGTCATTCTGATGGGGACCCGCTGCTGGTCTATTTCGGCGGCGGACCAGCCGCATCGCCTCAGCTCGACGAGATCATGGTTGCGCCCTGAACCGTCCGAGAAGAGGTGCTGGCCACAGGGCGCGTCGGTGAGGCCCCACTCGCGCTCAGGCAGGCGCGCCTCCACGGGCAGCGTGTGCCAGGTGCTCGAAAACGGGCCCATCGTCAGTGATAGCAGCCTGCTCCTTCAAGCGGTCCCTGACCTTGCACAGCGGCTCTCGGAACGGCTCCTCTTCCTCGTCCTCCTGCTGGGCCTGGACTGGGGCGCACTGGGAGTAGAGAGGTAGCCGTGGGAGTCTTGGGGTCCGCCGCATAGGACGCAGGCAGGGCTTTCGCAACGCTCCTCTTGATGCGCCGTCGACGGAGGTCTGCTGCAGCGCCCGCAACGCACCGTTCTTCCGCTCGCAGCGGAGGAGCGCAAGAGCCCGAATCCCACACCTGACACTCGCAGAACTGCCCTGGGTGGTGGCCCAGAAGCCGCCGCTGCTGCTTTTGCGCGATTCCCTGCTGCAGCCGCTGGATCACCTCGGATGGCGCGTAGGCTGCTAAGGAGATGAGCTGGCCGCGGTCGTCCTTGACGTGCATGGGGTCCAAGAGCTCCAAATCCACGCGGAGTAGGCTGAGCCAGGCGATGGCCATCGGTCCACGGCAATGGGCCCAGGTGACCTTCGCCAGCTGTATAAACTGCCTCGCATGGCGGTGAAGGCGCTGCAGAGGCGTGCCTGGGAGCCCGGGACCCAGTCCGCGCGAAGTTGCCGACGATGGCCATGGTGGCCTCGAAGATGGGGTCGAAGGTGATCGCGGACATGGACATCAAGTATCCCGTGGGGGATCCAACGTCCTTGCACGCAGCAAAGACCCCTGTCACGGTGCGCAGCTCGCGGAGAGCCTCGTCGTTGATGCCGGCGACGTTCGCGCCAGGGGCTGCCACAGACAAAACGCCCGACTTCCACAGGCAGGGAGCTTTCTTGTCGCCGACCGTCTTGCGCAGCTTCTCGATGTTCCGCAGCTTGCCCCGCACATGATCGGACCCGTTCTTCTGCGCCGCCCGTTTGACCGCGCGCCCATGCAGCTCATGGCCGAGCTGCGCATGTGTAGCTTGCTGCGGTACTACTCCCTCGTGGCCATGGGCAAGAAGCGCTTCTTGGCCTGCTGGGACGCGGCAACGGAGCTCCCCGTGCGGGTTGCACGAGTAACCCCAAGGGCTTGACCTCCAGGCAGAAGGTGCGGACAACCTGCGACGGCTGGCCCAGCGTGCCGATGTCCGAGTCGACCCACTGGAAGAACACATCAGAAGGAGGAGGAGGCGGAGGAGGAGGATGAGGACGTGGATGATGATGATGATGATGATGATGATGATGATGATGATGATGATGATGATGATGATGATGATGATGATGATGATGATGATGATGATGATGGAGGAGGAGGAGGAGGAGGAGGAGGGGAGGAGGAGGACGAGGAGGAGGAGGAGGAGGAGGAGGAGGAGGAGGAGGAGGGGGGAGGATCGATGAGCGCCCTGGGGCGGACTTGCGGGGACCCGCACATGGAGGCGTTGAGGCACTGCGTCAGGATTCCGCGCACCGTCGTCGTCGCCCCACTGCGCCCCGCTAGGACACCTTGGAATGTGGTTACCATCTCGCTCTGTGATGGTCTGCGGCTGCTGGTAGGAGGAGACCAGCATGAAGGCGAGGCGCATCCGGGAAGCCTTGGGCATGGCAGGCAGCCAAGAGCATGTCATGCTTCACGGACTCAAAGAGTTTGAGCAGGTCGAAAAACACCGACACAATGTGCTCGCCCAGGAGGTCCGCGACCTCCGCCTCGATGTTGTGGTCGAAGGCCGCCGCCGTCGACGATCTGCCCTAGCCTGAGCCACAGGAGATGTCCGATGGGTGGTCCTGCTCCCACTTCGCCGCCTCCTTGCGCCGAGTCTTGCCCCAGATGCGCAGCAGCGTATCCATCAAGGCGACGAGCCTGTGGCCTCAATCCCCTCTCAGGAGCTGCACGATGGCGCTGAGGATGCAGGCCTGCGGCCACACCATCAAGAGCTCACGTTTCATGAGCAGGTCGCCCAGGGCTTGCAGTCCAGGTTGCGATAGCCGCTCGGACATGCGGGGCGAAGAGGGCACTCTCCGAAGCCCAGCTGTCCAGGGGAGGGAGGGGCCGCTTGCCGCACGTCCTGGCTGGAGCTGGGCGGTAGAAGGTGCCAGGCCGCGCTGGTTCATGCAGTCGTTCGCCATGGGCTTGGCATCGCTCGGACGTGTGCAGTTTTCCTTCGGCGAGGACCATTGAGGAGCATCCTTGATCATTTGGCGAAAAAGCCACGCACGAAACCGAAACAAACACAGGGAATGGACGTCCGAGCGATGGCGAGTGGGGGAAACGAGTCCCGAAGGAAACGGGTCCCAAGGTTTTTGTTCGCCGTGTTCGTGCTCCCGGGGCCCTCCACGGGCTCGGGGGCTGTCAGAGACGATTCGGGGTGAAGAGCCGGTTCTGGGGGAAGGCCCTTGGGCCTGGAGCGCGCTGTCCCCAGGACCCGTTTCCCCCATGCTGGAGTCGCCCGCAGATTGGTACAACTATGCGTCGTCCTTGGCCTGGAGCACCTCCTGTAGGTCTCGTGCCCAGAGGTACCTGTGACTGGCTCGCACCCCGCCCACAGTTTCTTTTTCGGCACATGGTTTCCATGATGCTTCCGTCTTACGTGCCTGGGCAGCCGTCCGCGCAGCAGCTGTGTCCAGCACGTGCGTGGCATCGTCGGCGAACTTGTCGCTCGCAAGGCCCTCAAAGCCCCGATGCAGAAGACGTCGAGCACAATCCTCCAGCTGGCCGAGGACCTTCCTGTTCTTAGCGATGCGGCCGAGGAAGCCCGACATGTCATACAGCGAGCGCCCCAGCTTTCCAACGAGGTAGTCGCGCCTCGTGGGCGGAACGAGACGGCCAGCAGTGGACTCAGCAGGCGCCAAAGACGAAGATGCAGGGTGTGACGGGCGGCTCGCGTCGGAGCCGACTGCTGCTGCCCCCAACGGATGCAAGCCATCCTCGCCTGCTGTGCTCGGCTCTTCTCGCCTCCCGGGACGCAGCAGGCGCCGAAGACGAGGATGCGGGCCGCGACGGGCGGCTCGCGCGGGCGGCGGCTGCTGTTGCCTCCGTGGATGCCAGCCCGTCCTCGCCTGCCAGAGGCGCTCGGCTCGCCTGGGACGGCACGGATGTTCTGTTGGGCGAAGCAGTGCACGCTTTGGGCTGCGCACGGGCCTCTGGAGGCTTCTGGGTGCGTCCGGGGATCTCCGAGAACCTCCGCGTAATCCTGCAGGACGCCGCACAGGTGGTCGAAGTAGCTGCAGGTTTTGCGGAGGTGGCCCGCCCAGCGCCCAGCCACCTCCCACCAGCGCAGCGCCACAGGCCCCTCTTGGCAGCCGCCGTTCCCGGAAGTCGGTCCAGCCTCCCCGGCAGCTCCCGGTGGACGAGCTCGAGCACGAGGTCCCACGCGTGCGCCAGATGTCGGACGCGTTGCGATGGGCGCTTGCGCCTCGGACCAGTCCAACGGGTGAATGCCGAGCACAACCAGGGGGCGGCTGGCCTCGAATCTTGGGCGGCTTCACCAGCTGACGGATCCACTGCACTCGCGCCACCCCCATGCAACGGGAGGCTCACGAGTACATGTAAGCCCATCGTCACCTCCTCGTCAAGCTGCGGCCCATGTTCCGTATCTGGATGGACGTTGGCGATGAGCGGCCGCACAGCCGACCTAAGGGCAATCGCAGGGCTAACCATGAAGTAGTCGAAGACCGAGCCAGGCCACGTCCTGGTACACGTAGACGCCGCGGTGGCGTAGATCAGGCCTCGCGTCGCGCGAAGCCAAGGCGACTAGTCCAGCACCGTGGGCTCGAGGTCCAGTCGTGCCCAAGACCCACGGCATGCCGAGTTGGTTATGCTGCAGCAACTAGGCGGCCACTGCCCGAGAATCCGCGAGTTCTCCGCCGACAGACCCTCCACGCAGCGAAGGTACATGACGTGGTGGACGTGTGTGGACGTGTGCGGCCACCACCCGTGCCTCGACGAGGGTCGGAGTGCCGAAATGGTGGTCCTCGAGGGCTCGAGGACCGCAACACCTCTGTAGGCTAGCGCGGCCGACCCTAGCAGTGCAGAAGCCCGGATGCCGTGTTGGCCGCGCTGCTGGATCTGGCTGTGTGCTCGTGCCAGCTGGACGGTTACGGCGCGATGCTCTTGGGTTAGCAGGCATTGGTTCGGCTCGGAGGAGGAGGAGGGGGAGGCCGAGGCAGAGGAGGAGGAGGAGGCGGAGGAGGAGGAGGCGGAGGGGGAGGGGAATGAGGAGGGGTAGGAGAAGGAGGAGGATGAGGAGGAGGAGGAGGAGGAGAAGGAGAAGGAGAAGGAGGAGGCGGAGGAGGAGGAGGAGAAGGAGGAGGGAGGAGGAGGAGGATTAGTGTAAAACCCTAGACCTCATCAACGATATCAACATACACCCTCCCTCCGAGATTCTTCTTCATAGGCCCCTGCAAGTGGTCATTTCCACTGAAGGAATTGCCCCTGTGGGGGGGCAACCGTGTGAACATCTTGAAGCGTGCCAAGCATCATTCTCAGGACTCCAACGCCACGAGTTATCCTGACTGTTACGTCTTGGCGATCCCGAATCATGTGAGAACGCCGTTCCTGGGACTTCAACACCACGAATCAACGTAACTGTTGCGTCCTGACCGTCCTGCAACGTTCCCAAGCACCGGTCCTGGTACGTCAACCATGAGCACCGGTGAGCAGATTGCAGATTTCAAAGACGAATGTGCGTGGCGCTAGGGCCGCTAGGGCGAGAGCCACATTTTGAAAACAACCCGCCCTCAATCCGTGAAGCTCTTGCAATTTTTAGAACGAGTGTGCATGGCGCTAGGCGAGAGTCACATTTTCAAAAGGAGCCACCCTCAATCCGAGAAGCTCTTACAGTTTTTAAAATGAATGTGCGCGGCGCTACGGCGAGGACCGCATTTTGAAAATGTCCCCCCCTCAATCCGCGAAGCTCTTGCGAATGTTTGTAACTGATGTGCGCGGCCCTAAGGCGAGAACCTCATTTTGAAAATGTCACCCCCTCAATCCGCGAAGCTCTTGCAAATGTTTAGAACGAGTGTGCGCGTCGCTAAGGCGAGAGCCACATGTTGAAAACGGACCGCCATCAATCCGCGAAGCTCCTGCAAATGTTCAGAACGAGTGTGCGTGGCGCCAAGGCGAGCGCCACATATTGAAAACCACCCGCCCCCAATCTGCGAAACTCATGCAAATGTTTAGAACGAATGGGCGCGTCGCTAAGGCGAGAGCCACATTTTGAAAACGACCAGCCCTCAATCGAACAAGCTCTTGCCTTTTTCGAAACGAATGCGCGCGGCGCTAAGGCGAGAGCCACATTTTGAAAACCACCCGCCCTCCATCTGTGAAGCAGGCGTGGTTTTCCAGGCGAAACGCCCAGCCCGCCCGTTCGACTTGCGTCGAAGTGCGGCAGGGAGGAAGTCTCCTGAAGGGAAAGGAATGGAGAAGAAGGAGGAGGACGAGGAGAAGGAGGAGGAGGAGGAGGAGGAGGAGGAGGAGGAGGCGGGTGAGGGGGAGGAGGAGATGCAGGAGGAGGAGGAGGACGAAGAGCAGGAGGCGGAGGGGGAGGAGGAGGTGCAGGAGGAGGAGAAGGAGGTGCAGGAGAAGGAGGAGGAAGAGGAGGAGGAGGAGGAGGATGAGGGAGCGAGAGTTGCGCAGATGTTTGCCGAGTTTTGCTCCTCTCGAGGCGCCCGTCCGTTGCCAGCCACCAGAGCTTCCAGAGCCGCGGCCACGGCAGTTCGACCTCGCACCAGCGGCCGTCCCTGCGGCTCCACGGCGAGGCTGGCTCAATGATCCCAGGCAGTGCCAAGGGGGCGGGGTACCACCCCAGACACCCCCACCGTGCCTCAGATCAGGGCGTTGCAAGCATCTTTTCACAACGGGCGTTTTAGGCCGGTGTCGGGCTCGGGCTCCGGGACCCTCAGAGATCGACCTGGCTCGGAAGATGGCGCCGAAAGAGAGGGTCCAGGGCCCCGACCGTGTTTTTTTCGTTTGCGGTGTCGCATCTTTTGGCAACGTCAGATTTGTGGGATCGTCCTGGCCGTCGTCGGCGTCGCTGTCGGCCTCGTCCTCGCCCGCCGCCTCCTGCCAGCTGTGCCCTCGCGCGTGCCCCCGGCAGTCGCCGCTCTCGGGCGCCTCCCTCTGCACCCTCTTCCGCGCCTCGCCCGCCGCGCGCCCCCAGTGGGCAGCCACAGCGGGGCACTTGGGGATCGGACCATCAGGAGGGAACAAACACGCAAACACTCAAACGCACAAATACACAGACGCACAAACACACAACACACACACAACACGCGCACGCGCACGCGCAGGCGCACGCGCACGCGCGCACGCCCGCACGTCCGCACGCCCGAACGCCCACACGCCCCCACGCCCCCACGCGCCCACACGCACCCACGCGCACCCACACGCACCCACACGCACCCACACGCACCCACACGCACCCACACGCACCCACACGCACCCACACGCACCCACACGCACCCACACGCACCCACACGCACCCAGACGCACCCACACGCACCCACACGCACCCACACGCGCCCACACGCACCCGCACGCGCACACACGCGCCCACACGCGCCCACACGCGCCCACACGCACCCGCACGCGCACACACGCGCACACACGCGCCCACACGCGCCCACACGCGCCCACCCATTCACGCACACACGCACATACGCACACGCGCACACACACACACACGCACACACACACACACGCACACACACCCGCACACCCGCACACGCGCACGCGAGCACACGCGCACACGCGCACACGCGCACACGCGCACACGCGCACACGCGCACACGCAAGGGCACACGCGCACACGCGCGCCCGCGCGCACGCGCGCACGCGCACAGGTGCGCACCCGCGCCCGCGCGCACGCCCGCACGCACACGCACAGGCGCACGCACGCACGCGCGCACGCGCACGCTCATGCACACGCACACGCACACGCGCACGCACACGCGCACATGAGCACATGAGCACATGAGCACATGAGCACATGAACACGCGCCCACGCGCACACGCGCACACGCGCACCCACGCACACGCACACGCAAACGCACACGCACACGCACACGCACACGCGCACGCACACGCGCACACACACACACACCCACACCCCCACACACCCCCACACACCCCCACACACACCCA